GCAACATACAGGTTAGTTTACTCAACTGTGCACATTCCTTTAGAGTTTCTCCAAACACTCCTCTTTATTTGGAGTTATGTTCCTTCTCAAGTCTTGATTGCTGCCTCCTGTACAATGTCATAAACCTCCATCCATACTTCTTCAGGCACTCTGTCTATCAAATCTAGTCAAACCTATTGTTCACCTCCACTGTATATTCATCAGTGATATGCTCTGGGTCAAACCTGAATGGCCTAGTGGTTTAAGAACATAAGAACATAAGAGACGCCAATGTTGGATCAGGCCAAAGGCCCATCCAGTCCAACACTCTGTGTCACACAGTGGCCAGAAATACCAGTGCCATCAGGAGGTCCAGCAGTGGGGCCAGGACATTAGAAGCCCTCCCACTGTTGACCCCCCCCCCAAGCACCAAGAAGACAGAGCATCACTTGCCCCAGAGCCCCTAGCTATACCTTGTGGCTAATAGCCACTGATGGACCTCTGCTCCATATGCTTATCTAATTCCCTTTTGAAGCTGTCCATGCTTGTAGCACCCACCACTTCCTGTGGCAGTGAATTCCATGTGTTAATCACTCTTTGGGTGAAGAAGTACTTCCTTTTATCCGTTCTAACCCGACCGCTCAGCAATTTCATGGAGTGCCCACGGGTTCTTGTATTGTGAGAAAGGGAGAAAAGTACCTCTTTCTTTACCTGCTCTTTCCCATGCATAATCTTATAAACCTCGATCATGTCACCCCTCAGTCGTCTTTTCTCCAAGCTAAAGAGCCCTAAGCGCTTTAACCTTTCCTCATAGGGAAAGTGTTCCAACCCTTTTATCATTCGAGTTGCCCTTTTCTGCACTTTTTCCAAAGCTATAATATCCTTTTTAAGGTGTGGTGACCAGAACTGCACACAGTATTCCAAATGAGGTTGCACCATTGATTTATATAGGGGCATTATGATATTGACTGATCTGTTTTCAATACCCTTCCTAATAATCCCCAGCATAGCATTGGCCTTTTTTATTGCAGTCACACACTGTCTCGACATTTTCAGTGAGTTATCTACTAAGATTCCAAGATCTCTCTCTTGATCAGTCTCTGCCAGTTCAGACCCCATCAATGTGTATTTATAGTTAGGATTTTTGACTCCAGTGTGCATCACCTTGCACTTGGCCATACTGAACCCCATTTGCCATGTTGACGCCCACTTGCCCATCCTTGACAGATCCCTTTGGAGTGCCTTACTTTGAGCCCGGTCGTCTAGAGCCAAGCGACCAGTGTGACGCAGCAGTTACAGAGTGGCAGTTTAGGAATCAGGAGGCCTGAGTGCAAAAGCCCGATTGGCTGGGGAGCTTCTTTTTGGTTAATGACACTCTCTCAGACAACCGTACCTCACAGGGTTGTTAGGAGGGCCAAGTGGAGGAAGGGAGACCCACAAGGACCCACCTGTTATCTGGGGAAGGGCCATGGCATAGTGGTAGAGCACCTGCTTGGCATGCAGAAGGTCCCAGGTTCAGTCTCCACTTGCAGGATCTCATAGTAGGTGATGTGAAAGACCTCTGCTTGAGACCCCAGAGAGCTGCTGCTGGTCTGACTAGACAATGCTGAATTTGATGGACCGAGGGTCTGATTCAATGTAAAGCAGTTTCGCATGAGGTTCCTTCACTGGAGGTGACAGGATGTCTGTGTGCTCTTTGACTGAACTACAGTCCTTCCCGAAACGTCTCTGGTAAGTTTTACGAAGGAGCAGGGGTTTGAACCTTGGGCCAGACCAGGTGAGACACTGCAGGTTCTGTGTTTGGGCTCCCAGTCAATTTTTCCCTCCTCTTGAATAGTCAGCATGCAAGACCCCCAATTTAAACAAGGACCGCCACACACAACATTTTCCCAGCCCCATGGGACAAATGTAGTTCTTGCATCAGTCCCTCCGTACCTCTTCTTCCCGTGCTTCAGTACTGATCTAAATTAGGGCCCTGTATGAGACACTGCAGGTTCTGTGTTTGGGCTCCCAGTCAATTTTCCCCTCCTCTTGAATAGTCAGCATGCAAGACCCCCAATTTAAACAAGGACCGCCACCACTGCCACACACAACGTTTTCCCAGCCCGAAACAGCCCCATGGGGCAAATGTAGTTCTTGCATCAGTCCCTCCATCCCTCTTCTTCCCATGCCTCAATACTGATCTAAATTAGGGCCCTGTGCACTAGCTATGTACAAGGGGAAAACTGGGTTAGGAGATGAATAGACATATCGTCACCACTGGAGGGCAAACGTTATTCCTGTCAGCTTTCTTCGTTGTCCCAACTTCCACATCCAAATTGCGGCTATTGCAAAGCAATAAAAAGATGCAAAATAAAGGAGGTAATAAGTGTGACATGCTGCTAATAAGGGATGGCATGTGACTGGTCCTCTAATTCCCTAATAATTTTTAGGCGGAATTGGTTTCCTTGGTACAGCATTTGGAATCCTTGTATTCAGAAACGTAATTTAGATACTTTGGGGACCCAAAGCAGCTCACAACTCTGTTCATCTATATTATCCTGCCTTTCCTCCGAGAAACTCAGGCTGATATATACAGGTCTTATAGATATGGCACATGCCAATACATTTTTTCCCCCTGATTTTAAACAATAAATTTTGTTGAGAATTTTATACATACAGAAGAGTAAATCCAACAGGGAAGTCCAAATACAAAGCAAGGGTATTGCAGGAAACCACATGTCTCTGACCGTACAAAATAACAATATTTAGTTATATAACAACAATTTGTATTTAGCATTGCTGATATTTTCCCAGTCAAATTTGTCTAGATTAATCTTGTCCAATAAGGGATACCAAGCATGAAGTGGGCTCATCAAATCACATTCTGTTTGGATTTCTGAATGAAACGTATTAAAATTCTCCAACAGGAATAAGTCCCACACCTTATGAAGCCAGTGTTGTATACTTGGAGGATTCGGATCCTTCCAATGCTTGGCAATGGCACATGCCAATACATAAAACAGGTTAAAAGCAACATAAAAACAGTCATTTACAATCTTTCAAAGTGCTCTAGATGTTTCAATCAGTCTTCAATAAAAAAGATGGCGTCTTAAAGATGGTACTCCCAGTTCAGTGGTATCAGCTCCACGCATCGCTGTCGTTCACTCCTCCCAGGGCCGGTTGGCAATGATGGTAACTGTGACGGAATTGAAAATCTGGTACCAGCAGAAGGTTAAGATAGATCCCTGCTGGGTCACATGACATAGAGGGGAGGGGGCCTTTTGGTTGGAGCACTCTCGGAGTGACAGAAAACTGTCCTAACGGACAGTTGGAGGAGGAAGTTAAAGAGAGTCTGAGGAGTTAGCCGGGAGGGTCACCTAACCAAACTCTGAAGAGAGTGGATGCATAAGATCTGGGTGGTCGCAAACACACAAAACCACTGCTTCATAGGGACTCAAATAGTGGTTGAGGAAAGGCAAAAAAAAGGGATCTGGAGTGAGGAATCTGGAAGGCTGGTTAGGGGACCAGTTAGACTCAGGGGGGGGCAGACCAATTAAAGCCAATAAGTTAACCGCCGAAGGAGCGGACAACAGTCAGCCTGAGACAAGGCAAAGTGATATAAGTATTGCAACAACGTATCTGAACATCCCATGTAAATATATCCCATTCCCCGGTTGTGTTTTCTGTGCAACAATAAAGTAACTGTGCCTTTTGAACGTTACAAGTATTGGTGCCTGACTTTCTGGGGAGCCATATACTGTGCAGAAGTCCTCAATGCTATGCTGGGGATTATCAGGAAGGGTATTGAAAACAGATCAGCCAATATAATAATGCCCCTATATAAATCAATGGTGAGACCTCATTTGGAATACTGTGTGCAGTTCTGGGCACCACACCTTAAAAAGGATATTATAGCTTTGGAAAAAGTGCAGAAAAGGGCAACTCGAATGATAAAAGGGTTGGAACACTTTCCCTATGAGGAAAGGTTAAAGCGCTTAGGGCTCTTTAGCTTGGAGAAAAGACGACTGAGGGGTGACATGATCGAGGTTTATAAGATTATGCATGGGAAAGAGCAGGTAAAGAAAGAGGTACTTTTCTCCCTTTCTCACAATACAAGAACTCGTGGGCACTCCATGAAACTGCAGAGCGGTCGGGTTAGAACGGATAAAAGGAAGTACTTCTTCACCCAAAGAGTGATTAACACATGGAATTCACTGCCACAGGAAGTGGTGGGTGCTACAAGCATGGACGGCTTCAAAAGGGAATTAGATAAGCATATGGAGCAGAGGTCCATCAGTGGCTATTAGCCACAAGGTATAGCTAGGGGCTCTGGGGCAAGTGATGCTCTGTCTTCTTGGTGCTTGGGGGGGGGGGGTCAACAGTGGGAGGGCTTCTAATGTCCTGGCCCCACTGCTGGACCTCCTGATGGCACTGGTATTTCTGGCCACTGTGTGACACAGAGTGTTGGACTGGATGGGCCTTTGGCCTGATCCAACATTGGCGTCTCTTATGTTCTTATGTTCTTATGTTCAAAGAAGACAGCCTGAAATAGCTCTTACCCCGAAGAGAATATTATACATTGGGGGGTGTGGAGGACTGGTCAGGAAAAATAAAATCAACTCTGACTAGGTCCTGACACGCAGACCCTCACAGAACTGGGAGCATAAAGGGGGGTTCGTGTCATATTGGTAGTGGCGGTAGTGGTAAATCCAGTCTCTGTCTCTGTCGCTCTCTTATTTCCACTATTTTATCCTCTTAGTAACCCTGTGAAGTAGGTTAGTCTGAGAGAGTTGACTGATCCAAGGTCATTCAAGTGAGCTTCCATGGCGGGATGGGGATTTGAACCTGACTGTCCCAAGATTCCAGTCTGAAACGCTAGTCGTTGCCGCAAGACATGTTAAAACGGTTTGTTTAGCCGAGAGTAAACGCAGCCATGGCCATAATGATATAGAAGGGGTTGGTTTTGTGTGAGGTCTTTCTCTCCCCCGTGTCACACTGACTTTCTGTTTCCCACCCAGGAGTTACAGCTAGAACCCAAAATGGAAGATCAGGAGCCTGCCGGGCCTGAACCACAGGAGAATTCGGAGGCGGGACCGAGGGACCTTCGCGTCATCCAAATCGGGGCCACTGGGGAGTTGCTGGAAGGGGTGGGCCCACCGCAGTTTAAACGGGAGCCAGAAGACCAGTGCTGGGAAAACCAGTTGCAGGATTTCCTGAAGACGATGCAGCCCCCTCGATCGGGATGGAGGAACTCACCGCATTCCCCTCACTACTCGCCAGAAGAAGACACAAAGTATTTCCAGGCTGCATTCAAGAGATCCGCTGATGGCAGCCCGTGGCCCAGAGCTGAGTGCCTGGGCCAAGCCCTCCCGGGCCTCAACAAAGGGGACAGCGAGGCCTACGAAAGCAGCCGGGAGACACCCGTGAAAGTGAAGGAAGAGGTTATGGACGAGGACCCGGGCAACTTGGAGCTCCGGCGCCAGCGCTTCCGACTCTTCTGTTACGAGGAAGCCGAGGGGCCACGAGAGGTTTGTAACAAGCTCTGGGAACTTTGCCACCAGTGGCTGAGGCCGGAGACGTACAGCAAGGAGCAGATCCTGGAGTTTCTGATTCTGGAGCAGTTCCTGACTGTCCTGCCCCAGGACATGCAGGGCTGGGTCAGGGGCCACGATCCTGAGACCTGCACTCGGGCGGTCGCCCTGGCGGAGAGTTTCTTGGAAGAATCCGAGGAACCGGAACAAAAGGTGAGATCTTGGATAGGGCCTAGAAGAAGAGACGGGCAGAGATTTCGTGGGGTTTAAAATACCAAGGAACCTAATTTCAGAATAAGAGGGGAAAGCATTATAGAAGCCCTCTGTTCTTGAATTTTTTAAACTATTTATTTATGTTATTTATAGACTGTCTTTGTAACTGAATCTCAAGGCAGATAACAAAGTGTAAATTAATACAATCAACAGGGTGGGACATCCAATAAACGTAATAGGATTTGGATTGCAGAAATTTGAACCAAGGCAGCGGATGTTGCAGACAATAACACCTCTAAAGGGATGATGCCTCTTCAAGATCTCTGTAAAATCCTTTGGTTCTTTTTTGCCATCTCTGGAGTCTCCTACATTTATTACGTTGGACTGATAACATTGTATGATTATTATTATCGCAGACAAGTTTCTGATGGGAAAACCAAGCTGAGCACAGTTTTAATGAGCTGTTTATCGATTGTGTGTTCCAGTTTCCAGATTGCCCTGCAGATGTATGAAGTGTTTTGAAAGATTCCTGTTAATTTGATTTTAAGCATTAGATTCGGAGTTAGTAGAAGGCTCAGTTTTTTATTACGAAGCTACGAATACTTGTTTCACCGCTGGGGTCGGATCCAGCAATCACAAAACTGACGGTGCAGTTCCATTTGTGTGACACCTAATGCTTTCCTTTCATTGTATAATAGTGCCTAGAAATTGATTGCGCGAAATTTTGCATGAGTGGAAGCCCAAGTAAAAAGGTAAAGGTTCCTTTGCTCGAAAGCCAGTCGAGTCCGACTCTAGGGTTGCGGTGCTCATCTCCGTTTCAAAGCCGAAGAGCCAGTGCTGTCCAAAGACGTTTCCGTGGTCATGTGGCCAGCATGACTAAACACCAAGGCGTTTACCTTCCCACCAAAGTGGTACCCATTTATCTACTTGCAATTTCTTGCTCTTGAACTGCTAGGTTGGCAGGAGCTGGAACTAGAGACGGGAGCTCACTCCGTCATGCGGTAACTCGGGTCTCGAACTGCTGAACTACTGACCTTCCACAGCCTGCAGTTCAGCGTCTTAACCACTTGAGCCACTGCAGCTCCAAGGCTACTTCCTTGGAAGGCAGCCCTACGCAAGGGCTGTAGCGCAAGCGGAAACTTTGCACTGGACCCAACCAATGGTCACCTGTGCAAATACGTGTTTATTGATCATTTTGTGCTTGTTAATGATATTCTGAATTTTTTTTTTAAATTTGTGTGTGTGTGTTGACATGAGAAAGGAAGCCACGGCCCTCAGTTGGCAAGGCTGACCCAACCAATGGTCACCTGTGCAAATACATGTTTATTGATCATTTTGTGCTTGTTATGATATTCTGATTTTTTTTTATTTGTGTGTGTGTGTTGACATGAGAAAGGAAGCCACGGCCCTCAGTTGGCAAGGCTTGAGCAAGACTGTTAACGGCAGGAAGTTTTGGAGGTCATTATTTCATAGGGTCGGCATAAGTCAGAGACGACTTGACAGCTCATAGCACACATTTTACACACACACACAAATTCTTATCTTGGATTTTTTTTTGCCATCAAGTCTCAGCTGATTCATGGTGACCCCAGCGGGTTTTTAAGACAAAAGACGTTCAGAGGTGCCATGGCCTGCCTCTGTACAGTGACCCTGGACTGACTTCCGTGGTGGTCTTCCATCCCAGTACTAGCCAGGCCTGAACCTTCTTTGTTTCTGAGATCTGATGAGATTGGGCTAGCCGAGCTATCCAGGTCAGGGAATCTTGGGTATCGGACATATTTAAAAGATTGTTCCTCAACTTTTTTATTTTTGAGGGGGGGGGGCTCTTTTTATGGTTTGTTGCTGGTTTCAATTCCCCCTTTTTTATATCATCACTGTCAGAGACAGGATACTGGGCTAGGCTGGACCTTTATTCTGATCCAAAAAGTCAGAAAAAAATGAGAAATTCATGGCTGTGCCTGTCATGTGAGCGCGGGGGGGCGGGGGACGACACTCCATGGACAGAAGCAGGGTTTCAAAATGCTACCCAGAGTGCCACGTTGAACCTGCCATAGGGGAGAGGTCCCTCAGTCCAATCCAGCATGCCTCTTGCCGTGTTCTTACCACCTGTCAGTTAATGTATGTTTTGTCTTGCCTGCGGGCAGTGAGGCTGCTGCCTGGATCAGGGGACAAGTCCTTTGACACCAGGGGTAGTTAGTCACGAATCCCTCTGGATTTATCAGTTCATTATTATTCAATCTGCCTTTCTACGTAGGTGGCGGGAGGCTTGGAGAAAGCATTCAGTTCTCCGAAGTCGGATCCTTCCTCACCAGACGTCCTGAAAATGCAGCTGCCCATGGACGAGAAACAGGAAGCTGACTGGGAAGCTACTTTGTCTGGTAAGCATTTCCCCACCTCCCCCAAGGGTTTCTGGGGATGGTTTCACTGAAGTTTCTGACTCAAGCCTGGTCTATCCATGGAGCAGAACGAGATGGTTGTCCTGTCCTGTCCTGTCCTGTCCCGTCCCGTCCATCTGTCTGTCTTTTCCCCCTTAAATATTATGTCAAGCCCTTTTGACAGGTATTGTTCCCACTTTTGATTTGGGGGAGGATGTGTGTTTAGACCTGAAGTCCTGAGCAATTCTTCCTTTGTATGGATTTTATTATCTTGTTTTTCCTGAATTGGTTTGTAAGCCTGGTGCCCAGCAGTTGGGATATGCATTTTCTAAAGCAAGTGAGTAAATAAAAACATTGTTCTCTGGTTTTGTTCCCTACAGGCAATGAGCAAACGCCAGATGATGAAGAGGAGACTTTTGAGGGGGACCGGCCTGAGCAAGTGGGTATTGGGGGAGGCTCACTGGAAAGGCCCAAAGGGAAATGTTTCCAGGGTCCTGAGGCAGAAGAGGGAGTTGAAAGTCATCAGGGACCAGAAAATCGGCAGGAAAACTCTCCTGGGAAGGCACCAAAACTTTGTGAGGAACCCGATAGGGGCTTATCAGAAAGCGCCTTCCAGGAGGGAATCCGCAAGCTTGCCAATTCAGGGGAAAGCCCCTGTCAGCGCTTAGGCCCCCGAGAAACTCACATAAGTGATAAGCCCCACAAATGCTCCTTTTGTGAAGCGAGTTTCTATGAGAGAACACACTTGGTCATTCACGAGCGAATCCACACTGGAGAGAAACCGTATAAATGCTCTGTGTGCGAGACGTGGTTCTCTCACCCCTCGGAGCTGCTGAGGCATGAGGAGACCCACATGCCCGAGAAGCCCCACAAATGCGCTGTCTGTGGCAAAAGCTTCAACCAGAAAGCCTCCCTGATCACCCACGAGCGAACCCACACAGGGGAAAAACCATATGAGTGCTCCGAGTGTGGGAAGAGCTTCAGCACAAGCTCCCAGCTCATAACGCACAAGCGAGTCCACACGGGTGAGAAGCCATACAGTTGCTCCTACTGCGGCAAAAACTTCAACCAGAAAGCATCCCTGATCACCCACAAGAGGACCCACACTGGGGAGAAGCCGTACGAGTGTACGCTCTGCGGGAAAAGCTTCAGTGCTTGCTCTCAAATCATAAACCACATCAGGGTCCACACGGGAGAGAAGCCGTACGAGTGCTTAGAATGCGGGAAGCGTTTCGGGAGCAGTTCCCACCTGACCGATCACAAAAGAACACACACAGGGGAGAAGCCGTACAAGTGTCCCGACTGCGGGAAGAACTTCAGCCGAAGTTCCAACCTGACAGCACACAGCAGGATCCACACGGGAGAGAAGCCATATATATGCTCAGGTTGTGGCAAAAGCTTTAGGCAGAAGGCCTCCCTCATTACCCACAAGAGAACCCACACGGGAGAGAAACCCTTTGAGTGCTCCGAGTGTGGGAAAAGCTTCATTTCGAGCTCTCGCCTCGTAAGCCATAAGAGGGTGCATACGGGAGAGAAACCATACGAGTGCTTAGAGTGTGGGAAGTGTTTCATTTCCAGCTCCCATCTTCTAAGCCATAAGAGGGTGCACACGGGAGAGGAGCCGTATAAGTGCTCGTAAATGCGGGAGACCCGTTATTGCGCTGCCCTTCAGATAACGGGCCGATTCACACATACCCCCGGCCAGGAATCCTGTATACCAGGGATGACCAACTTCTAGATTCTCAGGGGCTGCTCTTTTCTCCAGGCAGCATCCTGGGGGGGACAAGAACGGCCAGCTCCATCATAAAGTCGGCACCTTTTTAGCAGTAAGGGCGTCACAGTAAAGGCGCACAGACATAGTCTAACCTACAGATACCTGCATCTACATATTATATGCCAGACCCCAAAGAGAGATATAATATTTAAAGTGTGGATGCGATCTCTCTTACAATTTAAAAACAGTTTTGCTAGGGCCAGGTAGATTTCTTCTAGAGGCTAGACCCATCCAGCAGGGTTGACGGTGGCCCACATCTCCAGGGTTGACAGTGGCCCACATCTCCTCTGTATGCCAGAGGCACAAGCCGTGCAGCGGCAGGCCATGCGCGTCAGAGTAGGTTGAGGTATAATAACCCTGACCTTTGGGGTTCTTTTTTTTCTTCCCACAAAAGGCCACAGAGTATGCAAGTTGAGCGTGTGCACACAGCTCACCAGCGCCACCAGTGCATCAAACGCGTACTGCGAGGTGCACGAACTTAAGGCTAGACGGACCAATGGTGTGGCTAGGCAGAAGGCAGCTTCATGTGTTCATAAATGTGCTCACCGTGTGTACGTGATTCCCCAGCCGGCAAATGTGTGAACCAGCCCTGAAGCACGAGAATCCCTGTATGTAGTACCCGAAGGGAGTTCAAAACGGAGATGCGTAGGCAGTTAGAGGGCAGGGTTGTGTTCAGGGATTTTTCTCCATGTTGACTTGTCTGCTGAAGAACCCCCTGAACAGCTCCCTCAAAAGACATGTGGCAAGGAATTCTGGGATATTTTCTAGGGCACCCAAATAGTTTGCTCACAGCATTGGTTAGGCATTTCAGGCCGCCCTGTAGCCCTGTGTGTACCTGAGTTCTGGGTCGCATGTGATGGGCAGCAAAATTAATACTGAGGGGAGTAGAATTCAGGTTGTCAACCAGTCTGGCGAGAAACGTCCTGCCCATTTAATAATTTGTGCATTTCAGGGCATGGAGGTAAATAACATCACTCAATAAATAACATCCCACATGGCCTCTATGAAAAAGGGAGAGAACGTTTTCTTCCGGGCCTGTTGGCAACCATCGTAGTCTGCTCTGCTTTGAGCACATTTTGAAGCACTCTTTGTTTCATTTTTGTTCTTTAAACTCCCTGCAAATAGAAAACAGTGTGGTAAGCGGAAAGTGCGGGAGTAGAAGCTTTTCTAGGGAGGTTATTTTTTGTTTTGTTTTGTTTTGTTTACGCAAAAGTTTTTTTTCCTGAGCTGGAATTCTCATTCTCTCCCTCCCTCTCCCCCCCCCCAGTCTGAACTGGAGCAGTTCCTCAGCATTCTACCACCCCCTCACCCTTCCTGCCTTTGTGAATCAGGTCCTAGTGCATATCTTCCCCACGGCTGCACACGTCGGGCTGTGGGAGATCAGTTAGGAGCTGGCTATCTGTTTTTTAGAGTCGCTTTCCCACCGTAATAGATCTTTTCTTCCAGGGGTCCCATAAAAGGCTCTGAGGGAATCCTGAATTCCTAGGGACTAAATTTAGGAACTGTAGTTATACGGAATGGAATGGAAGCATTTTTGGAAAAGCTGGCGGGCTAGATGTTTGCAGGCTTAATGTTCTTCAGAATAGAGGCAGACCCTATGTATTTAAATTTCCCACAGTCTGCAGCACTACAAAATCTTACGGGCAAGCTGCACCTGGCACGGATAACTCCTACACCAATACCACAAAGGCTGGCCTTATTCCTGGGCTCCGATTGGCCAAGGCCATGCACCCAGCCTCAGCTTTCTTCTCTTCCTTTTCTGCTCAGACTTCCTGTGCATTTTTGTACGATTCGCATGAGGCCGGGACTTGCCTCACCCTGGGTTAACAGCAAAGGGCATACATTGCAGGCAGAAGAAACCAAAATGGCTTCCTTCCATGCCCGCTCCTTTCCAAATAGGCTAACATTCTAGGTGGGTCATCCTCCAGCCTCTTGCGAGGCCAGATATGGGGTGCTTGCAAAGGGCCGTGTCCTGGAAACCTGTCCAGGCCAGGCCTAAACTATGCCCTGTACCTGCCCACAACTGAGGCGACTTCCCACCAGCCCGTTGGTCACCTGAAATTTGGGCAAGGGAGGCCATGTCTGCCCGGCTAAGACCTGGTTTAGAGAGAATGAGGTGGTAGAATGAACTGCACCGCTTCAGAGGGCTGGCAGTGGCTCACTTTTGGGGGGAAAGCTCCTTTTTGTTTAACAATTTCCTCCAAATAGAAAACCAGCAAACAAGGAGTCATCCTCCAGCCTCTTGCGAGGCCAGATACGGGATGCTTGCAAAGGACCATGTCCTGGAAACTTGTCCAGGCCTAAACTATGTCCTGTACCTGCCCACAACTGAGGCGACTTCCCACCAGCCTGTTGGTCACCTGAAATTTGGGAAAGGGAGGCCATGTCTGCCCTGATAAGACCTGGTTTAGAGAGAATGAGGTGGTAGAATGAACTGCACC